AGGAAACATTCACCATATTCTGTGACAGTAACAGCTGCTCCTAAAGGCGCAGCACAGCAAAATCCTCAGCAAAAGAAGCACTTTAGCCTTCCATTATATGGCAAGTGATTCCTGTTTTCTTTTTTTGTAATTTTGCTAAAAAGGAAGAATGTCATGACCTAAATCCAACCCACGTTCCCAACTAGAGAAGATGGTTGACTCCGTGGAACTTACATAAGTGCTGCTTTGCTAGATTTTCATTTTCATTGGGCCTACTCTAGCTGGGATCAAATATTGGATCAAAGCCCAAAATTCCAATACAAGAAACAAACATACACAAACTTCATAAGCAATTACCAAACTGGAGACCTCTGCAAATTACATTATGTATTCCAAGTAGGTTCTCCATAGAGTTGCCACCACCACCACCACCACCATCATCATCATCATCATCATCATCATCATCATTTCCTACTACAGTGCCACTCCCCCAATATTTTTGTTTTTTTGGGGGGGGAGGAGAACAGAGCGATTCAAAAAGAAAGCTCTCAATAGTTTCTGAACCAATATTTTATTGGTATGTATGCATCGATGCATGCTTTGTACATCTTTATCAGAGAAATGTTATAGCTGAAACAATGTAAGTTCTCAACACTGCTGTTCTGAACATGTGGGCAGAATTGTCTCTCCAGCGATTATGAAGCATTTTTCCATTTAAGAATCTCAACAATAGCTCTCTCCTGCAGTCCAATCTAATCTGTCTTTGGAGGCAGAGCTCATCTATTTTGACAAGACTTAACTCCCCATAGGGTTTCAGCCTCCATGTGGAGGCACAGTACTGCCAGAACCTCCTCCATAAAAAAGTAAAGAAAGAGAGAGGGAGGGAGGGGAGAAAGGGACCTTCCTTATGTAAGAGCAATAACTTACATAAAGAGTTTCTTTCAGCTTTCTTGGGAAATCAACGCTCTCACAAGGAGGCCTATCCCCTTGGTTTGCTGCAAAGAAACAGGAAAAGTGGTGAGTGCTGCGTCTTCATAGATGGAAGCTTTACACTGACACAGCACTCCTCAGAAACTGGAACAGAAAAGATGCTAAAACTAAGAGTACGGTGGGAGTACAGTCCAATGTGTCTTGAGTCACTTTGGGTAGCAGCTCATTCACAACCCTTTCAGCAGGAAGGAGGAGAACTATTAACCAGCAGGTACCCACAGAAAAGTTGCAAAGACCTAGGAACCCAAGACTGTAAGCCACAAGAATATTAATCTTAAGTGCACACCTTTAGGGGCATGCTTTATCTATAGAAAATATTGTGCCCAAACCATAAATAATCAATCTTTGAAGAGAGGAATGAAGCCATTTGAAAGGGAAAGAGAGAGACAGAGGGTGTGCCTACACTGCAGAAATAAAGCAGTCAACACCACTTTAATTGCCATGACTCTATCCTACAGAATCCTGGGATCTGTAGTTTGGTGAGGCCCCCGAGTGCTCTAAAAGACCAGGCTGAATACTTCACCAAACTACAAATCCCAGGATCCCACTGGATAGAGCCATGACAGTTAAAGTGGTGTCAAACTGCATTATTTCTGCAGCGTGGATATGCCCTGTGAATTTAAAGAGTATATGTTGGAGATGGGGGTGGGGAGTGTGTTACTTCATACCTAAGCAGAAAAGCTGATCAGGTTTTTCTCTCCTTGAATAAAATGTCACCCTGAGCAGGCATAGCCTTTTGTGCTATTTCTGATTGCATTGAATCTAGGGAAGAATTAGCCATCTGCCCTTCCCACCTTCCTTTAAACATACATACATGCAAAGAAAATGGGAGTGAGGGAGAAGATGAATGCAATTCTCAGCACAATGAGCCAGAGGAAACCTATTTCAGGAATTAATTTGCATCTTGGGAGATCTCTTTTAATTAGTCTCCTGCACTGTCCCAGCTAATGACTAAAGGGGCAGTGTTACAATCACTTTAAGTAAGAACAGACTACTTCTGATGTTAACAACAAACCACAGTTTACCATTAGGAAAAGGAGAACTAGTGCACCTTCCTCACTCCTCCGGTATAGCCACAAAGAATACTTCAGAAATATTATCTTCTATTTTAGATTAACCAGAATTTTCTGTGTCATATGAATCCAAACTATAATTAACCTGACCTATGTGTGATTGGAGGCATGGTTAGATGAAGTTAGCCAAAAGCAATACAAAAGTTTATAGCGCTGTCTTGTTCCACTGTAACACTGGTGACTAAACACAGTTCAGTGTTCAGACAACATCTGACACTGTGGTTAAACTGAAATGGAAGCAGAAGCTTCTGATTTCCTTCTCGTGGCTGTACTGGAGGAAAAAGAGAAGAGAAGATGGGGGTAGTGCATGAAAACAGGGAGGCAAACCAAGGCAAGGTTCCTTATCATAATGCCAAACTATGATTTAACATTATGTGCCAATGAAGCCAAAAATGGGAAATCTGAAGGAGATCATTTACTTTTTAGTGGATACTGATAAATGTGGGTACAGGGAGTGAGGTGGAAAAGGGCTTGTTGAGTGAGGTGAGAAAAAATTCTGCTAAGCTAATGTACAGGAACATCTCTTATTCTATTCTATTCTATTCTATTCTATTCTATTCTATTCTATTCTATTCTATTCTATTCTATTTTGTAGTCTTTAGCTACATCTATATCTCAGCCAATCCTTTCTACATATCACCTCTTACTCAGGCCCAATGAAACAGCTATTCCTTTAGCAGCAGGGAGCTTGACTTCCAGTGAAAGGGAAGTCCAAATGAAAAACACACATTTTATAAACAGGACCAGAAAATCAATCAGCCATTCTTATGTAAAAGATGCAGAGGTGATTCTAAAGGTGGTTGGCATGTTTTTTTCCTTTTCTTTTTACTGGTGGTGCATCTGCATATTTAAGGGGGGGGGGAACACTGACATACAGAAATTAAAAAGATGAAGCTAAACACTAAGATAAGTGGTCAGAAAAGGCTTCACTTGGTACACATCTGTATGCCAGGTTTCTGTATTTTTTCGAGAGCAAGGCCAGAGGTGAGGGCAAGAGAAGTAGTAAACCCTGCTAAACGTATGAGGAGAAAGACCACAGAAGGTTGTGCACAGTCATATTCAGTGATTTCCCCAAAAGGGGAAATCAAATTGTCTCTGCATGGAATAGTGTACCTCTGTAGTTGCTCACAACCAGTGGTGCTGTCAGGCTAAAACTTTGGGGCAGACATCTGGGAACCTATTCATCCAGTGGTAGAGGAGGGCCCCCAAACCACAGCAGGACTAAGCTCAGTATATCTTGAAGTACACACTGCCATCTAAAAAGAAGTGAACATGCACAAGACCATTGAAATCCAGAGCCTAAAATGACCGAACTGCACTACTGCTCACAATTTGTTAAGAGACGGAGACAGAGCAGAACAATGATGCTAGGATGTAATGTCACTGGCACAAGGCAAACAGATGAACCCTGCTCCTGTCATTTTAGGCACAACTGTAGTGAAGCATAAAGTTGTTAGGACAGGCATCCCTTATAAGCAAGTTTTAAATGCCCCAATGGAGTCATCCAATATGAAGGGACTCTCCTTTGGTCCCCTTCTGACCTGGTTGAAAACACCATCACCCGGTAAACGATTCGGTCCAACCCCACATAGGAACACAATGAAACTAAAATTGTAATACCAACACAGTGGAAGCAGCCAATTTATACATGCATGTATTTATAGTCAACTACAGCTCCGAGGCAACAGCACTGACTTGGTGACTCATTTGGAAACATTAGTCCTGCATTGTCAGAAAAGGAAAGGCAAGCCAGCAAGCAAACTGACAGACACACACACACAAGGCAGACAATTCTACACCTGTCCTCTACAAAGAAAGTCAACAGCATTACCTGTTCCTGTTGTTGGACTGATTTCCCTGAAGCACTTGGGTCCTTAGCTGTAGTCATGTTCACCTACTTGTGCCCACTGCAGTGAGAAAATAGGATTTCACACGCCTGGGTATGTGTTTGATTGTGTGTCCGTGCATGCGAAAGAGAGAGAGGGAGTAAGAGAGAGCGTTCAACTGTTTTCTCGAGCCACCAAAGCTAAAGGAATACAGAGGAGTAGCTAGTCCATCACTTACTTCATCACCAGCTGAGAAAGCAGCTCCCTTTCCACATCCCCCTTCCCAATTAAAATTTAATGCCACCAAAATATAGCCCACCCTTCTGCTTTCCTCTCTCTCTCTCTCTTTTCTCTCTAAAATTTAAATGAGGAGATCTGGAAGAAGAGAAAGGAGGATGCTGAGAGGGCTTCTTCAATTAGCAACAGCCTCCGCAATCATCACAGAAACAATAACTGCTTGGCAACCAGGAACTGGCAGCTCAGAGCTGGAAGACTGGGATGTGGTACTCCTCTCTCCCCTCCAACTCCCACCTCCTCAGCCAGTTGAAGACTAGACCTGCGCATGCTCTAGCCAGCCTTGTACGAGAATGTGCACAGAGTGGAGCTCAGCAATGCCAATTGAAACTCCCGGCATTTGCAATAAAGAATCAATAGGGACAAATGCTGAGCAGGCACCTCCGATAAACTATCCTTCTATTATGCTCACTCACTTAGGCTTAATCACATGGAATAAGCCGCTGTGGTGTGCCTCCTTTTAAAGAAACCATGCAGAGCCTTTTTCCTGTGTGTGTGTGTGTGTGTGTGCGTGCACACACATGCATGTGTGTGTGTTAGTGTGTGAGTAAGAGCATACTACTTGTGCACACCCAGCTGTGTCATCTTTCCCTGGTAATTTCACAGAGTGTGAAAGTTGGGTAGATTCTTATGGCATGTGACTAGATCACATTATCATTTCTACAGGGGTCACTCACCATAGTAAGAGTGCTATCATCACTTCCTGGAGGCAACCATAATGTGCTCTGAAACCATTAAGTGCACTGCATAGATCCTACAGATCCCAGAAAAGCAACAAGAAAATAACAACTCCTCTCTAAAGTCTTAAATACAGCAAAGGAACACTATCTGCCTGTGAGCCAGTGTGGTGTAGTGGTTTGAGTGTTGGACTATGACTCTATGACTCTGGAGACCAGGATTCAAATACCAGTTCAGCCATGTAAATCTACTGGGTGACCTTGGGCAAGTCACACTCTTTCATCAGAGGATGGCAATGGCACCCCCCCAAAAAAATCTTGCCAAGAAAACCCCATGATAGGGTTGCCACAAGTAAAAAATGACTTGAAGGCACACAACAACGACAACAACAACAACACTCTCCAGTCAAGTGTATGCTGGATTTATAAATCCAGAAGTTATATCACAGTGTTCAGTATTTACAATCTTTAGAAACCTGTGAGCATGCACTGGAAATGCTTGCTTCATTGTTACTAAAGGACAGTGGTTACAGCTAAGAGGAAATTTTACTAGAATTCTACTTTAAGCCATGTTTCAGCAGCAGGATTCAGAATGAGCCACAATTTACTGCAACTTGTGAAATCCTGCCTGGAATTTATGAGCAGATAAATCAAAATATACTCACAGAATTATTGCACTTACAAACCATGCAGAGAACACTGTAAGTTTAGTCCTCTGATGCCAACTACATGATTTCTTCTATCATTTCTTTTTTCAAAAATAGGGCAGGGAGCAGAAGCTGTGAACAAAAGCAGAGAGCATGGAATGGAAAAGGCCAACTTAATCCTCTCCCTTTTATGTCATGTATAATTTGATCTTGAAAACAGTAGTTATAATTACTAGGAATGGCAAACTCCTTAGTAAATTGGCTGGTGAATGGCAAATGCAAATGTTTGGACAGGAGAATTATTCTTTTTCCAGGAGTTCTAATGTGACTCATAATGAGTGCTCTGTTGCAGTTTACATCCTTTCAGTGCCACTTGGCAAGTGGGGCACAGGAAAGGAAACACCAGGGAATGAGACAATTACAGCAATATTTCCCATCAGACAAATGGCAGCAGCTGCCTAGGGAGAAGGACCTACAATTCATGTAGAATTCTCTACCATATAAGTGACAGTATGGGTTCCCTCAAGAGATACAAATCCCCATCAGATTGGGGCTATTTGATGTGGGAACTGGACTGTGAAGACTGTACTGATAGTAAATGGCGTGATGTTAGAAAACCAGAGCCATGCCAGATTGAACCTGTCTAGTCCAACATTATTGTCACACAGTGGGCAACGAAGCCTACAAGCAGAACATGGGTGCAACTATACTCTTCACCTCATGCTCTCCAGCAACTGATATTCAGAGATATACTGCCTCTGTTACTAGAGGCAATTTATAGCCATCCCGGCGTGTAGCCATCAGTGGCCCTAACTCTTCTGAATGCATAAACCTAATCCATTTAAATAGATCATAAGAACTTAAAAATATGAGTTCTTCATAAGAAAGGACTGGGTTGAGGACCCCTGTGGACCAGATCTCTTGCAAGCCATGACCTGGATGGAGGGAAAAGACTCAAAAATACACCTACCAAAATAAATGTAGGTATCACAACAGACCAGGGAGTGGCTATAATGTCTGCTGCTAAATTTAGGAGGGGGTCTTGATCATGCATCTCAGTAGACTGATGTGAGCTGCAATGTCAGGTTGCTGTACACTCCTACCAGCCAGTCACTAATATGCTGTCTGGCATAATTTGTCATCTAGAGTTTGCTCTTTACTAGGCAAGGAGTTTTTGTTTTTGCTAACAGTCAGACATAGCCTCCCTTCTCCCTGTAGCAGCCAGATAGTATTATTTGCAAATTTAGTTGTTGCATTTCATGATGCATCCCTATTCTTGGTGCACAGCTGAGATGCTGAAATTCTTGGCCAAATTGATTGCTCAAGTCTAGACAAAGGAATTGCTAAGGTATTATTCTGCAATGTCCCTCCATGTGCATTACTCTCACCCTCTTTTTTAAAAATACTGAGTTAATTTCAGCATGCAATGAACATGTGCCGGCACAGCAGCTGCCTTTTCTGAGCATTTGGCTCAGAAACTGGACTGAGTAAGCACAAAACAGGCATTTAAATCCATCATATTCTTGATTTTACTTTATGAGCAGAAAGCCATTTCAAGGTTAACAGAGCTCACTTTTTAATAGAAAGGCATGTAGTACTGAGAGTTGGGTAATTTAAATTGCAAGGTCAGTCTTTTCAAACATTTGCACCACTACTAATAACAACTTCCAGAAAAGGTATACCATGCATCTTTTAGAACCATGATGGAAACCTCACATGACCTAACAGAAGTTTAGCATTACTGATTTATTCATCTTGATTTTTATCTTGCCTTTCTGCTAGACCAGAACCTACAGAGACTTACAACATGATTAAAAACAGATACCCATAGAAACCATGGAGTATCTACATCACTTCAACCTAGATAATGAGGAAATAGTTAAATAGTTAAATAGTTCCTGTACCTTGGGTCAGACATTGATAAGAATGGTGACTCCAGTCAAGAAACAAGAAGACTAGAAATGGGAAGAACAGCCATGAAAGAACTAGACAAGATCCTAAAGTGTAAAGATATACAAATAATAATAATAATAAATTTTTATTTATAGACCGCCCCTCTGCGCGGCAATCGGGGCGGGGTACAACAATATTAAAACAGAACAAAGTTAAAACATTCCCTCATCCCATTCTCCCACCCTCCCATCCCCTTAAAACAGGATTAAACAACAAATCAATTAAAATACAATATTAAATAAATTAAAACATCCAAATTAGCATAAGGAGTCAGAATAGCGAATTAGGGACTCCTCTCTCAGCTGCCAGTTATTCCGGGAAGGCCTGCCGAAAGAGATCCGTCTTTACTGCTTTCTTAAAAGCAGCAAGAGTGGTAATAATGAACACTAAAGTTATAATCATCCAATCCATTGTATTCCCCATCACCATGTAAAATCAGGATAGTAAAGAAAGCTGAAAGGAAGGAAATCAACTCATTTGAGATGTGGTACTGGAGAACAGTGCTAGGATACTGTGGACCCACAAAAAGACAAAACAAATGTGTCCTAGAACATCTCCTTGGAAGATGACAAAACTGAGGCTGCTGTGCTTTGGCTCCATCATGAGAAGATACGACTCACTAGAAAAGACAAAAATACTAGTAAAGGTAGAGGGTAGCAGAAAGAGAGGAAGACAACCCACCAGATGACAGGCAGGTCATGGGGCTGAATTCACAGGACATAACAGAGCAGTGGAAGAGAGAGGGTCTTGGAGGTAACTCATTCAGAGGGTCATCATGAGTCAGGGTCGACTCGTGGGCAGTTAACAACAACAACTCAAAAACATACTAGGTTATAATTTTAAGACAGTAATAAACAGTTTAAATATTAAATTACAATTAATTTAAAGACATTTCCAAAAGGGAATTAAAATATTAATTTAAAAATATATACCAGGCACTCATTAAAAGTAATTTTCTTATCTTCCTGTCCGTTGACAAAAGACTGCCTGAATAGAAGGATGGGAATCCTATGACCCTGCAGAAGTTGCTGGACTTCAACCCCTAGCAACCCCAGCCAGCATGGGCAATGGTAAGGAACGTTGGGAGCTGCAGCTTAACAGCATCTCGAGGGCAGCATGACTGTCATTCTTTTGAATTAAAAAGGACATTAGGAAAGCAGGAGTTCCACAGACTGGCTTGGGATTAGCCTATTATTATTATTATTATTATTATTATTATTATTATTATTATTATTATTATTTGTACCCCACTTTTCCCCCAAGATTGGGATTCAAAGTGGCTTACAGTCCAAAAACACAGTACAATTAAATGACAATTAAAAAGAAATTAAAATACTGCCGTATTAAAACAGATCATTTGTTTAAAAATAGAATACAGTTTAAAAAGACAAAAGCACTTTAAAACCATACTTTAAAATAATACAACACCCTCAGGATGTATTTTTTTTAAAAAATCTGTTTTAAATGCCTGTCTGAACAGGAAGGTCTTAGCCTTAGCCGAAGGACAACAAAAAGGGGGCCATTCTGGTCTTCCTGGGAAGTGAGTTCCAGAGTCTAGGGGCAGCCACCAAGAAAGCCCTCTCTCGCATCCCCACCAACCATGCTTGTGATGGTGGCAGGACTAAAAGAAGGGCCTCTCTTGAGGATTTCAGAGCTTGGGCAGGTTCATACAGGTAGATACAGTCTGCCAAATAGCCTGGACCTGAGCCATATAGGCCTTTACAGGTCCTAACCAGCACTTTGAATTGTGCCCGGAAACAAAGTGGCAGTCAGTGAAGCTGTTTCAACAGAGGCACTGTGTGGTATCTGTAACAGTCTGGCTGCAGTTAACAGTCTGGCTGAAGCTCTTTGGACCAGCTGGAGTTTCCAAACATACTTCAAAGAAGGCCCTTCTTGTGTGTCCTCCACAAACATGCCTCTAAAGATGGTGGCATCAAGAAATTCGATCTGCAGATTGCAAACCTTGGGGATTGCAAACCTTGCATTGCATAAAGAGATGCAGAGATATGAATCAGCATTAGTACACTGTGAGATATCTGCATGGAGTTCTCATAGGACAGGGCAAAAGTCACCTGTTCCATGTAGTGAAGCACTGTACATGAGCAAATGGAAAAATGTGTGGCCCTCCAGCTGTTGTTAGTCTTTCACATTTGGCCATGCTAGCAGATGGCAGATGAAGTCAACAAACACCAGGAGGGACACATGAAAGATGTAGGTTACCATCTCTAATTTACATGGGGGGGGGGGGAGAGAAACGGATTCTGAAAATGTGTCTAAATGTAGTGAAGCCTAGCACATCTCAGCAACACATCTCAGAAATGTGAGCATTTTTTTCAGGCTCCACTTGAAGAAGTGTGTTTACCACAGAATGAACAGAGACTTAGACTGAATGCCTGTCTGAAGATGGCAGAGCATACTGATCTGCCAGTGTACTTACACAGAAGACTAGGACAGTGAAGGAAGGGTAGTGAAGACAGAGGCAAAAATACAAAGGAATAGTGACAGAGGAGCAGAAATACACCCAGGCATCATCTGGAAGCCATTCTGCAGCATGGCAAACCCTTACTGGCATGGCAAAACCATCTTTACACCATGTTAGAAACAATAGTTATGCTACCATAATCCCTAGTTGTCTGTGTGT